AAACTGAGCAGTTGCTCTGGAGAGCTGAAATGCTGATTCTGGCTTCTTTTGTAGTTCTGTCCTGCTGGTTGTTGAAACCCACCGCAGCACCCCTTGCCGCTGTAGACTCGTACGTACGCGGATTTGGGCAGGCATGGTTCTCTGTGCTGGGTCTTCAGCAGCGGTGATGAATCATTAGGGAAGCCAGCTCTGCTGTTTGCAGAGATTTCTCGTGATTATGCTGTTTCTAAGTAGCATTTTTTAATTAAAAGAAACATACTCAGTTGTAAATGGGAAATTTGAAAGAGCTGTTGCAGGTGCTTTCAAATCCATGGTCACTCTAGTAAATACCACACAACATTGGTTTTCATAGCAAACTTTTTCTTTTTTTCAAATGCCAAAGCAGTTGATTGAGTTTGTTACCTGCGCTTTAAATGTGTCAAAAAATGGTATTAACACAAATGGGATGCTATTTAACTTTGAACAGTATTGTGAATTCTGATATGAAGCTTGTAAAGAAACTTGTTTCAACTAATAGTCCTACTTCTAAAAAATGCCGCTCAATATTTAAATGGCCTAAGTTTTGTTTCTGGCATCAAAGAAAAAGTTTCGGGAAGGATGAATTTCTCTTGAACCAATAACAATCATGCAGCTTCCTTTTATACTATTCTGCAGATGTTCGTGGCCTGTCACTGTATCAATCTGCTTTAAGTTGTAATGTGCCAATTTTTTTTTCCAATACTGATTATAAAATAAAAAGTGAGAAATAATGTCAAAGAAACCTGCATGTGTTTGGCAGTAATGAGTTTCTACAGTTCTGGGCTCAAGAGATGCCAGGAGTGCCGAGAGATGGGGCTGCACCGTGCCAAGGGCTGGAAGCTGCCCCAGCCACTCGGGGATGCCGGCTCGGGGGCACGGCGGCTGCAGCGCAGGCAGCAGCGCAGGCAGCAGCCCCCATCACAACGCAGCCTCCTGCACCGCCAGCGGAGCCGTGGCCTGTCCGTCCTCTGCAGCATTTGTCCCCAAACTGAGGTGCGACGTACTGGAAGCATCTTCCAAGTGGAGAGTAAATGCCTGCGTGCCCTCTGCACCAGCTCGTGCTGCGCAGCGCCTGATCCTGCTCGCTCGTGCCGCTGAAACACGGACAGGGAAAGGAGTTTCTCTCTGATGTCCCTTGGAGGAAGAATGATTTGGGGCGTCAGGATGGCCCTCCTGCGGGGTGCTGCCGAGGCAAGCAAAGCTCTGCCGCTTGGGGATCTCTTGAAATGCCTTGAACAGAGACAACTGCGGTATGCGCTTTGGATTTCTGGAGACTGCAGAGGCAAGGCTCTCGGTGAGGCAGCGCCGTGTGTCGGTGACTCATCGCCCTGCTCCTGCGCTCTCAGAGGAGCAGTTGTTAAAAGCAATTGGCAGTTTCAGCTAAAGAGGGATTACAGGTTCCTGTTTAACTTCCCTTCTCCTGAGCACATGCAGAATTTCCCTTCTGTCTTTGGAAATCCGCTTCTGCTGAATTGCTGCGGTTCTGAACTCTGCAGGAATGTTCTGAAAGGCACCGAACGGCAGCACCGACGGCGCCGGCAGGAGCTGCTCCCCGGCTCCCTCCACCCGGGGAAGCCCGAGAGCTCTGCCACAGGGAAGGGGCGACAGCGGCGGTGGTCAGGAAGGATGGCCATCCCCTGTGGTCCAGGCACAAATGCTGTTCTGGGCCAGATGTGCCCTGCAGGCCCACTGCCCTGGGCATGCAGGAGCCCAGGGTCCCTCCCGTGCTCCTCCTTACCTCCCAGAGTCAATTAGCCCTTTGCTGGAGGCATTTTCAGCCTTGAATTTCCCCTGCCTTTCCCCTCTCTCTGTTTACCAGATCCACGTAGCCATTCCCTACCTGCTCCCAGGCTATTCATCATCTTTGACAGAGGCCAAATTGCCACCAATTTCAGACAAAACTCAAGGTAAGAAATCAGCAAACCCTGCTTTGCTGCTCTCACAGCTGGGCCCTCATGGTGCTGTGCTTTCCTGCCGAGCCCCTGGAGGAGTGTGTGGGGGGGAAGCTGCCTGAGGATGCTGTAGGGGGGAGATGGGCTGCCCTGAGCCCCCTCCCAGGCACATCACAGCCTTTGCCAGAGTTTTCTGCCACCAAAAAGCAGCAGGAGGTTTTGCTCACCCGAGGGCTCCCAGGCTGAGCACTTGCCCTCTCTGGTGCCATCAGCAGAGGCCGCTCCGAAGGGCTGGGGACCGTGGTGGCAATTTGGACCAGCAGCAAATGTGGACATTTCATTCCCCTTTGTAGCATCCCACAGCATTCCTGTTTGGGAGAAGCTCCTGGCTTGGTAGGACGGTGTTGTTTTGGCACATGTTGGTTCGAGTGGATGTGGCCTTCAGGAACCATTTGGTCAGCTCAGCATCCCTCCGGGAGCAGGGCAGGAGCCTGGTGCCACCGTCACCTCCTTCCTTCTGCATGTGGTGGGCCTGCAAGAGAGAGCCGCTGTGCAACTGCTTCGGAACAGCCTCTTTGCAGTGAAGGGTAGTGCCTCTGCTCTTCCATAGCTCCACGCTGGCCCTTCTCGTCCTAGGGTGGATGCTGCCCTCCATCGAGGTGGGCTTACACTTATGTTTCAACCACTTCACCCTTTGCCTGGCAGAATTCTGCACCTGAAGTCTGCTCCCTCACCTTGCCTGCCTTTCCCCACTCCTGCTCTGTGCGCCCAAATCCACCTCTTCTTCCTTCTCTGTGTTGGGGAGAGGAGCCCTGCAGGGATTGCGCTGGCTCCCGAGTGCCACTTGTTCGAGAGCGAAGGCAGAGACCCAGCTCCTGCTCAGGGACAGGCTGGGACCCAACAGGCGCCGGCAGGTCGGGACACCAGTGCCCTGAGCACTGCTGCGTGCTCAAAGCCTCGCTGGCTTGATGACACAGCCATGTCCTGGCTCTTCTCCTGGCTTTTCCCTCTTTGTTCCTTGAGCTCCGGCCCTGTTTTTCTTCCCACCTCGTCTCCTCTCAGCCACTCTTGGCTCTCTCTGCTCTCTGGTCTTCCCCCTGCAAGGCTGAAGCCATCCTAATGGGATGCCTCCTGCGGCAAGTGGAGTCTCTGAGCGGCCGTGGATGTCCTGGTCCACTGCTGGCAACAGGGCTCATCTCCAGAGGCTCGATCCAGCTGCAGTTGTGATGTGGTGGTCCTGGCCTGGCCGGGCTGGCAGGAGGAGGGCAGGGAGGACCTGGCTCTTGGCGGTATTCTGGCCGTGCTCTTGCTTGAGGCATGAAGGTGCTGATGGTTCTGCCCCCGCATCCCTGGACCAGCAGCAGCCAGTGGGATGAGAGGTGCTGCAGTGAGGACACAACATATCGCCCGCCAGGTGCTTCATCAGTACTGAGCAGTGGGGAGGATGGCCGCGGCGGGAGGGAGCGGGGTGGGGCCACAGACCGGCCAGCGTGGTCCCTCCTGCGGCCCATGGCACGCACGTGTCCGGTGATGGAGCGGCAGGGGTGTGAGCGCGGCGGGGCCCCCCCGCGGTTACCCCTCTGCCATGAGCTGACAAAATAAGCCAGAGTTGGAAATCTCCCATCGTAGCAGAGTGCAGGCAAGCTACGGGGGCCTTGGTCCAAAGGCAGAGTCAAAAAAAAACCCAAAAAACCAGGCCGTTTTGCAGGTTCCTGTAAGGCATCAAATTTGTGACAGGGTCCTGCCAGTGTCACATCAGGGGAAGGTCACCTCCAGCACAGAGTCAGGGCATGGGGGTGGCTGCGCCTGCTCGTAAAAATGAAAAAGCGGTGGAAAGCGCAGTGCTCTGTGGTGAGGCTTGTCCGGCCCCGGGGCGATGCTGCAGGACTCCCACCCAGCAGCACCCCAGCCCCGCACCCTGTGCACAGCCTTTACGGGTAGTTAGGAACACTGGGAGAGGACTGCAAATGACTGTGCTTCTGGCTCGTTTAAGCTCTTACATAGAGACACAGAAAAAGAGATAGGGAAAGTTTGCTTTAATAAGGAGATGAAGCAGAGCAGGCTCCCAGCCCACGGGCTGCCTGGCTGCTCACGCTGCTGCCGCGCTGCAGGGAGCGGGTCGTCCCTCCGTGGGCTTTCTTTACTGATGAAGGATCCTGGGTGCTTATATTGTATCTTCCGTGCTCTGGTAACCTCCCGCAGCCAGAACATAGCTTAATTGGGCAATCTCTGATGCACACCCTTTTATAAAAATGGCCCAAGCATTCCTGACTGATGGGCTCTGCAGTGCCAATAGCAGATTACCAGCGCTAATCGAGACAGTAACTTTTTTTTTTCTTTTTTGAGTTGGATGTAGCTGCAAAGTTGTTCTTCTTATGAAATTAAAATGATAAAAGGTTGCATATGTGGAATTTTCATTCTTCGAGGTTTTGAACTACTGTATATTTTCTACATACAGCCCTGGAGCAAATCACATCCTCAAATCAATAAAACACTGTGTCGGTCAATACTATATCATAGCATAATTTTCAAAAATCAAGCTTAAAGCAAAAGGAGATCCTACAGCTGATTACTTTGTGCAAATTTTGAAATCGTATTGAATGTTTACTTCTATTTCAAGGCATGTTGCTTCCTCCAGGCTCCTTCCTCCTGTGTATTGCGAATCTCTGTTTGCAGTGATGGTTTTGCATGCTGAGAAACTGCTCTGTTTCTCTCTCTCGCAGCAGCCAGGAGAGGAGGGATGCTCGGCCTGGGAGCACCGCAGCCCTCCCCGACGCCCCATGCTCTCATCGTGTCCCTTTACTGTCTGGTTGTGTGTTTCAGGCGCGTTAAACTGGTGTTCTTCCGTTCTTGCCCGTGGTGTGGGGTTGCTTCTGTTGTACAGGGGCTGCGGCTGCCTGTTTGGGTGTGTATTCCTCATCGGCGGCGGCGGCTGTAGAAACCAGCGCGGAGATCTTGAGTGCTGGGCACGAAGCCCAGGGACAGCACAGCTCTCCGGCCGAGCGCCCTTGGGTGCTGCCACCGCTCGCTCGCTTGCTCGCTCGCGCTCCCCGCTTTACTGCGTTTAACTCTGTGCTTTCCGTTTAACAGAAGGACAAACGAGACACTTCCAACTTCGACAAAGAGTTCACCCGGCAGCCAGTGGAGCTCACGCCCACGGACAAACTCTTCATCATGAACTTGGACCAGAACGAGTTTGCTGGATTCTCCTACACTAACCCCGAGTTTGTCATTAACGTGTAGTCGCGGTGCGGCCGCCGCCCGCCCTCTCCTCGCAGTCTGAAACTCCAGATCGCCTTGTACATACCGACACTAGTCTTCCGGGATTAGCAATGCAGACATACATACCCTCATGCGAAACACGCCGACCGCTTGTTTTAGGAGGCCTTTCTATGTCTGTGTCACTTGCTAGCTTGGTTTCCCTAGCTGGAGATGTTTGGGGTTCGAGTTGACAGTCAGTAATACTTCTAGGAACTATAGTTGGTGGTGACTAATAGAGTTTTTAAACAGAAATATACCAAATTGCTACAGTCTTTGTAATTTTTGAAATCGGATGCTGAGATTCCAGTGACCCTAGCTACTCACAAATCGTTTCTGTTGAATGCTAAGCATGGTTGATATCTTAAACCGTTGTGCTGAAGCTTGCGATGACTGTGAGCTTGTCTTAGAGGAGCCTTTTGTTCAAGACATGGATACATTTGATCAGTGTGGAAAAGTCTGCTTATAGACATATATTTTTAAATGCATTGTATATACCGTCAGCCTGGCTCATCGAAGCCGTCTTCCTCCCTCGCCTCCCGCAAGCCTGCGCCTCGCCACACGTCCTTTCCTACACTCAGGCATTAAGACTCCAAACAAATTCCATGCCAGTTCTTGTAAATCAGAGCAAATCTTTTTCTAAGTGAAAGGTGGGATTTTTTTTTAACATCTGGAACAGTTTGCAGTTTTGATACACTCTGTCAGCACTCTCATAAATCTTTCTCCTGTTTTTTCACAAACACTGTCAAAATTTAACAGCTCTGTAAAGGATATTAATATTCTACCAAAACAAAACACATTTATATTCTCGGTTTACAATTTACCAACTGAAAATATGCCCACTACAAAAGGGCTGTACTGAGGGCTATTTATAAAGGTAACTTTTCTACTTTACACCCTCTGCTATTATCTTAAAGGCTCAAAACCCAGGTAATTTCACAGGCATCTTGATTTACCTGATTTCCGCCAAAATTCCTGGGGGTTTTATTCAGCCAACCAGGACCTTCTGCATCATTTCAAAAATTCTGAATCAGAAGAGACAATTCCAGCAGCTATTTGTAAGGCCGAGCTGCGCCGCGCGTGTAGCAGCAGTGCCGTGCGGGAGGGCAGGGGCAGGCAGGGGCGGGCAGGGGCAGGCAGGGACTGTCCGTCGGCAGCTGGGGGGGGGACTCGCTGTTGGGTCCGCAGCAGGCTGAGCCCCCAGCGTGAGCATCCTTTGAGTCACTGGCTGTTATTCCTCTCTTATTACACACCAGTTTGGTTGGTTTGCAAAAAAAAAAAAAGAAAACCCATATGTATATTTTCTGAACCACTACCAATTCTAATGTAAATACACATTACTCCATGCCTATAGGGGAAAATGGGGGTGGAATTTTATGAATCACGAGGAATCCTATAAAGGAAATTCTGGTTTGTAGATCTTTTATAAATATCAAACTCTACCTTTTGAAATTATTTTCTTCTTTTAATGATTCATTGAGGAAAAAAGGCTGCTAGAAGCTAAAGCTGATGTCCCGCCTGCCAGGGAGCGGGCAGCCGGGTGTCCTCGCCCCGTTATTAAATTGCAGGCAGGCAGTGCCCTGTGCGTGTGGGGGATGTGAGCTGTGAGTCCATGGTCTCGGGTAATGACCTGGGCTGGAGGAAACAAAACCAAACCCAGAAAAACTGCAAATTGTGCCAGATTGCCAAGAGAGTTTATGAGACACTCTGCATCAGACGAAGCCCAGGGAAGCCTCACGCGTGGGCTAGTTTCTGGTGAGGGTTCTCGTAACTCCAGCACACGTTTCAGAAGACGTCTCGCCATCCTCTGCAGACCACAGTTGATGTTCAGAGCATGTACGTTACTGTAACTTTCAAACCTGTTGCTGCAGAATTAGTATTACTTCAGTGGTGAATGTTTTTAATTTCCGTATCTTCAGCTCTGAAGCCGCTCCCAGGGTCTGTCCAGGATGCTGCTGTAAGGTCTCCCGTGCCGAGGGGCACTGCGGGGCCGTGGTTACACGCAGGGGCTGCTGTGGGGGGAGTTACGTCTTTTCTGTTCGGGACTTCTGTGTACGTGTTGGGGTGACACTTCTGCATGGAGCAGGCGTTACTGGACCGCCAAGCGAGCCGGGCAGCCTCGGATGGGGCCCCGCGGGGAAGCCGGGCCAGCACATGGCCGTGCTCAGCTGTGCCGCCAGGCATCTTCGGTGGCATCTTCGGGATCTGCAGGGTTAAGATCCATGCTCCAGGGAGAGCTTAGCAAAGGCTAGGTCCTGTTTGCAGGATTCGTACCGTGTGCATTTCTGATGTCCATTCTGCTACTTGCCAAACTCTTATTTCAAGGTTTATTTCCAGATGACCTGTTTCTTCTGTGGAGAAATGTAAAATGGGATACGCCTGGCCCTGCACAGACATTGAGATTTGTACAAACTCTTCCAAGGAAGGGCAGAGTGACAGTGGTTGAGTCACTGTTTGCTGTAATTTGATGATTTAGTCTTCACTATTGGATGGGGAAAGCAATGCTTCAGGAAGGTGCTCAGAGCTGAGAGGCTTCAGAAGAGCCCCGTTAGTCAGTCCCCAGGTGCTCTGATACACGGATAAAGCTCAGAAAATGACACCTGAGCGCGCTGCCAGCATGTGGTGCACCCATTGCTGCGTGCAGTGCCGGGGGGACAAAGGGACAGTGTGAGCGAGCAGCGGGTGAGGCAGGAGAAGGATGCTCTGGGGAACAGAGGAGACATCTCAGCCTGCAGCTACAGAGGAGAGAAAAATCCGCCAGGGCTTGCAGGGTGCACCCTGACCACTCGCCTGCGTGCTGGAGGGGGTTTGGCTGCAAGTCCGGTGTCCCACACTGAGCAGCCTGGCTGCGGTGGGATGGGCAGTGGGGTCCAGCAGTGGCAGGGTGGGACCCAGAGCCCTGCACCTCCCCAGGTGAGGCAGGAGGGACCGAGGAGGCAGGACATATAGTTACCCCACCCGCCAAGGATGGCAAGTCCTGACTCTTTCTCCTGGGCTGGCTTACACCTGAACGCGGCAGGTAAGTGGGGTTCAGGCTCCTGAGGTGGTTCCCCATGGGGCAGGGTGGATTAGACATCCCCCCCAGGGGCTGTGTCGGCCCCTTCGCTGCTGGTTGGCAGCTGCAGCTGGGGCTGCGGTGACTGCTCCAGGCAGCAGAACCTGCACGGCTCCAGCACCCAGCGGGGGGGCTGATCGGCAGCATGGGCTTTGCAAAGGAGATGGCATACTGAAGAAGACATGGGGGAGGAGGGCTGAGGCGCCTGGAAGCGAAGAAATAACTGCTTGTGTTTACCCCCTGGCTAAGGATTTCATTCCCAACACTGGTATTTGGAAATACGCCAGGGTACCTTGGTGCAGGAGTAGATTCCCATTCCTGTCTGCAGGGATGTTAGGGCTGCAAATGCCGGTGCTCCCTGGGCATGCCCTAGTCTTTCACTTGGACATTTTGCTGAAGAAAAGGAGAGAGGACTACGGCTCTTTGTGCAGGCCTTCTGCGTTGCTGGTCTAAAGCGCAGCCCAGCTTGAGCTGGGAAGCGGTGGGGAGGCTGTTGGGTGCCTGCAGCGGTGGAGCGCTGCTGGAGAGCTTGCATGGCACACTGGGACAGTGGAAGAGCGAAGGGAATGGAGGAGAGCCTGAGCAGGGACCTGCCTGAAGTCAGGGGAGAGCCAGGGCTGGCTGCTTGGGCTCAGCCTGAGGAATTGCCTGGTCCTGGAGGCCTGCAGGGCTCTGTTAAGGGCTGTGAGGCTGTGGGCAGGCGAGGGGGGACTGGAAACCCTGATCCACTCCGACTCTGCTGTCCTGTAGCTGCACGTGGCTGTTTGGGATACAGCTGGTTCTGACCCAGCCGTTCAGGGCAGGTCTGTGCAGGGCTGTCAGCGCTGCTGCACGGCCCAAACGTAGCTGCTCTCCAGCCAGTGCATGCTCGGGGACTGCCCCAGCGCGATGTCATTTGCACGTGGCAAGGGGGACCTGCTGCTGCTGCTCTTGTCTCCCCTGGCTGAACATCTGAGCAGCCTTCTCTTGACAAGAGAGCCATCACCAAAGGAGTTATCGATCCATTTAATCAATACATGCAAATTTGCATAGTGGCCGACCCGTATAGGTAGTCTGAAAGATGGAAAGATGAGCGAGCGCTCTGGGCAGTAGATACGCTCTGATAATTGTTAATCCCAGGAGCTCTAATACAAGCGAAGAACTAGGGTTATTTCTAGTGCAGAGTGCAAGGATCTAGCTGTTCAAAAGGTAGGGCTTCCATCTGGAGGGTGGAACTAGCTCATACTAAGTGCAGGTTCTCTGCTTTTGCGGAAGCAGGTGAGCCACTGAGCCTGCAACAGCAAAAGAAGCAACAAGCATCTTGCTCCGTGCATGGAAGTGTCATCCAAACTGTTTATTTCTGATCACGTTCAAAGTGGCAATTAAAACAAAAAAAAAAAAAAAAAAAAAAAAGAAAATGTTTATTGTTGAACAGTTTGTGTTTGTGAATTTGATTTCACCTGCAAGTATTTGATGACTTTTCTACATCCTAGACTACCTGCTGTGTGTTGTCAAAAGATTCTCATAAAGATCTCCTTTTAGATGGGCATATACTCTTTATTCTATTTGCTGCATGTATGAAAAAATAAAATATATAATTTTAAAGAAACCTTGAGAACTTGACTTCCTTTGCCTGCGAGACTCCAGTGGCATGCGGGGGGAGAGCGGGCGGGCTGGGCATGCCATGGGATCCCCGGCAATCCACAGCTGGTTCTGGCTGTTGGCCGCCTGCCTGGTCACCTGGAGGGGTCCCGCCAAGCACTGCTACAGCAGCAAGTGCTGAAATGTTGCAGCTTTTCGGTAAAAAAGAAGCATATCTGCACAGCTAGAGAATATTCGCAAATGGAGCCTGCCTGAATGCAGGGCCAGGAGTGGAGACTTGTGGTTGGGCTGTGGCTGTGCTTAAAGATAACAGTATAGACCAAGGGGGAGGGAAGGTGTTTGTTTTTTG